ATTATTGATTTTTTACAGAGAGGAAGGGAGAGGGATAGAGTTAGAAACATCGATCAGCTGCCTCCTGCACGCCCCCTACTGGGGATGTGCCTGCAACCAAGGTACATGCCCTTGACCTGAATCGAACCTGGGACTTTTCAGTCTGCTGGCTGACACTCTATCCACTGAGCCAAACCGGTTAGGGCTCTCTGAAGCATTTTTAAAATGAGTTAAAGCTAACATTCGCTTAGGCAGCTGGCAAGGGAAATATTTTGTTACTTGGTGATCCTGAATTCAAGTACCAATAGCAATGTATTTCATACTTTTATGAACAGAAGACTTTGCAGGATAATCGGGCTGTAGAAAAAATAACTCATGGAGAAGTTCTACACATGGATAAAGGGAGTGGAAAAACATTTCTCATACTTCAAGATTCATTTAATAATTTCTCCTTTGTTCAAATGGGTTTGTTATATATTGGGCATTGAACACCTTCTAAAAAAGTTAAGTATCTGTGGTAAAGGAGACTATGCTGAGAGAGCTCACTGAGTGAGTCTGATTGGGAAGTAGTAGATTCAAGATCTCACTGAACGTAGGAATCAATACTTAGAAAAGTACTTACTATTGCCTCAGAACACCTAAATAATATTTCTTTTAGTGCCACAAATTAATAGAGTGATTTGGGGCTAATCACCTATCATCCTTAAGCCTAATTTTCCTTATCTTCAAAAAGAAAGAGTCAATTCGATTACTTTAAGGTCCTTTTTAGTTCTAGGTAACAGAGGAGCTTATGTCTTGGGATTGGTTTATCTATGTATTGTACTAGACTTTATTTCTTGGACTCTCAATACCTGAGGATTCAACTTAAGTCTTCATTGTACTGTGACCTATAAATACATTTTCTAGATTCCAATTGTCAACTTTCCCAGACATCATCATAAATTCTCATCAATAAACATTTATTGCCCTGCCTGGTTAGAGCATCTGCCCTCAGACCAAAGGGTCTCAGATTTGATTCCTGGTCAAGAGTACATATCTCAGTTGCAGGTTTAATACCCAGTCTGGGTGTGAGCAGGAGGCAACTAATCAATGTTTCTCTTTCACATTGATGTTTCTCTCTCTCTCTCTCTCTCTCTCCTCTCTTTCTCTCTTCCTCTCCTCCCTCCCTTCCCTCTAAAAAAATCAATGGAAAAAATATCCTCGGATGAGGATTAAAAGAAAAATAAATAAAGCATTTAGTGGCCATTAATGTGTACAGAATACATGAATTAGAGATGTATATGTAATCATACAATTAATAAGAAACATATGTAAGATTGGAACTAACCAAAGATCTTTCCAGAGAGTAGGAGTCCTGTAGCTTGGCTGGCTTTTGTTGGAATGCTGTGTATTTTTTAGTCTTGGCTTCATCCATGATCTTCACTTGGCTTTGAAAAAGAAACAAAATAATTATGAAAAATGTATTTGTCTTTATTAAGTTGCTCAGTATGGCTATATTATTTAGAAATATTTCCTTTTTAAAGCAGCTCATATTTTTTTGTTTTATTTTTTCTTCTTTTTTAAATTTATCTTTGTTGAAGGTATTACAGATGTGCACTTTGGTTTTTTGTTTTTGTATTTTCCCCATTGACCCCCTCCTCCCTGCACCCACCTCTTCCAACCCTTTGCCAAGAATCTTAGGCTTTTGATATAACAAATAATTTGATAGATGGGTACTATAAAAATAAAATATGTTATTCTCATATGCCTTTAGATAATTAAATGCAATCCTATAAAATAAAAACTTAATATGCAAATTGTCCCCTTGACCAGGAGTTCAGTCAGGAGTTCTACCAGGGGGCGGGGCCAGCCCACCAACCACCTGTGGCCCCTCCCCCCAGTCGGCCCCACCCCTAATTGGCCCCCCACCCACCCTGATCAAGGGTGGGGCTGGCCGGCCAACCTCCTGAATCCCCTCCCCCTGTCCGGCCCAGCTCAATTGGCCCCAATCAGGGCGGGCCAGCCTGGCCGGACCCCACCCATGCACGAATTTGTGCACCAAGCCTCTAGTTCATTATAAAAACAAGTTGTGGCCCTGGCCAGTGTGGCTCCGGGTTGTAGTTCTATTGGCATCTCAGTGCCAGGGCAGGAGGCAACCAATCAATTGTCTCTTTCGCATCAATGTTTCTCTCTCTTTCTTTCTCTCTCTCCCACCCTGCCATCTCCCTTCAACTCTCTCTAAAAACCAATGGAAAAAATACCCACAGGTGAGTATTTACAAATACCAAAAACAAAAAAACAAGTTGTGCTGAGCAGTAAAAATAAAAATACAGTAATCTGTTGGAAATGTTAAAAAGTTAACTTGGAGAAAAGAAAGAAAGGCAATAATAAGCTACATTCCTCAAATTTTTTTCCAATTTTTCTCAACAGTATTTACCACCAAGGCTAATTTTAATTAAGGACAATTATTTTAGTTTGCTACACTGAATAGTTAGATATTAGGCTTTTAGGATCTTTAGTTCTCAGCCCTTTCCCATCTGTTTGATTAAGGCTGTTCTTCCCCTGAGCACTCAGATAAAAATCACTAATATTGAGATCAAAGTCCTCAAACACCATACACTAATTTAAAATTGCATGCAAGCCTTAAACTGGTGTTTAATACCTCCATTCTTTTCCTCTGTAGGCATTTATGTCCATGTTCCAGATCCTTACCCAGGAAGGATGGGTAGACGTAATGGACCAAACTCTAAATGCTGTGGGACACATGTGGGCACCTGTGGTTGCCATCTATTTCATTCTCTATCATCTTTTTGCCACTCTGGTGAGTTTAGCACTTTTTTTCAATTATGTCTTAGAATTCATAATGGGATGAGCATCAACAGATTTTTTGGCCTACATTCAATTTCAAAATGGAGCCAGAGAACCAATGTAGAATAGTCTGGTTGGATAAGGTCCCTTCCATTCTAAATTTCCAGGGATCAATGAACTCCTTCAGGAACTAGATTTCAGATTTAATTAGGAAGTTGTCTCTATCAGGTACAAGTGTTTGCATGAGGGAAAACAAGACAAAACAAAATAGAAATCTCACATTTGCATACCGATTTAAACATCTCTAATCATTCACATCCAACATGATCTAAGGATCAAACCAGAATTATGTAATTATTATTATTTTTAACTTTGTATAGACACTCTCTTCAATTTCATTCCATCTTCTTCACAGCTGTAATTAAACTGAAGATAGCAGCTGGAGACCTCAGGATCCAGTCAGTTAATTAGAAATCAGCTCAGTGTTTTTTGCTATGTGGAACAGAAAGAAACTGACGGGGGAAAAATAAAACACATAGCTGAAAATATTTTTAAAGCACAATAAAAGCTAATACTAAATCCAAGAAAAAAATTGACTTCTGTCACACAGAGTTTTCCCCTTAATGTATTTTTATTAAAAACAAAGAAAAAATGCTATGAAATGTAGCCTATTACATACTAAGGGATGTAATTCTCATGTTTTTCTAATGAGAAATGTACATCTCTATGTAATAAATTGATGCATATTTAAGAAGCAAACTTAAGCTCTACACTTATGTTAAAAGTTCCAAGTTAAGGATTCAGAATGGTACCCTTTATTATGAATACATGAAATAAAAACAACTGCTATTACTTATTGAGAGGCAAAATGTTTCACAATTTTATTCCTAATGTTTGGTACAACCAAGTTAGGTAATATTCCCATTTTACAGATGATGAAACTGAGGTTCAGAGGAGTTAAGTAATTGGCCCAATGTCACATGGAGTGTAAATGTTAGAGTCAGAAAATTCCCAGGTCTGCCTGGTCTCAAAGCCTATGGTCTTGCAACTACTTATTGCTACTTCCTTCGGTTATGAAACTTACTATTGTCAGTGAAAATATCTGCATCAAATCAAACCTCTGCCCAAGAGTCACTAAAATAAAACAAATTACATATGAGCTCTAAGGTCCCTTCCAATTCTAAATATCTATGAATCAAACAAGTGCTTGAGAAACTAGATGTTATATTACAGGTTGCATTTGCTATAGGCAAAGGCTTTTAAAACTAAGACATGTTTATCAAAAAGTATATTGGGATGCATTGTTATGTGGTGTAAAATCTTGGGTTCAAACAGTAAAATCACAAAGAAATAGTTTGGGCATTTTTTTATATGGGGTAACTTTTAAAATATTCACAAAAGGAAAGAACATTGAGTAGTGGGAATGGAGGTCTGGCTTCCAGAGCCAACTCGGACTGTGCTGGTGTTTCCAGGACACTTGGCCCTGAGGTCTTTGTATGCTCCTTTCCAGGCCCTTTAAGTCTGTGTCTGTCATTATTTATTCATTCATCATTAATTCACTCACTCATGAATTCAACTAATGTTTATTAGGCACTTATTATGTGTTTATGTTCCTTTAAAACTATGGAAGACCTTGGAGAGTGTTGATCATGGGTTAAATGCAGGACAGATATGATTGAAATCATGAATTATGAGAATAATCTATGTAATTGTTTTTCTATTAAAACAATATAATTGTTGCCAGGCCGGCGTGGCTCAATGGTTGAGCGTCGACCTATGAATCAGGAGGTCATGGTTAGATTCTCTGGTTGTGGGCTTGATCCCCAATAGTGGATGTGCAGGAGGCAACTGATCAATGATTCTCTCTCATCATTGATGTTTATCTCTCCTTCTCCCTCTTCCTTCCTCTCTGACATCAATAAAAATATATTTTAAAAAATAATATAATTGTTTGCTAACCTAGAGATATAGTTTTGATTCTTAAGACTGAGACTCACACATTGTGAAAGCAGAAAGAAAAACTATCTAGTTTTTCAAGTAAACTTCTTTTTTTCAAGTGAACTTCTACAGGGATTGCTAATATAATAAAATATTTTGTTAAATCTGTACACAGACTACTTGGGTAGTCTAAATTTTCCTTACTGGGCCAAAACATGGCACTGATTGTGGAACCTGGAACACTTCTGAGGATTCCTGAGATTCACCTGAGCCTTTAGGAACCCATCAAGCACAGCTTGAAAACCATATCTAATTTCATCCCTTCATTCAACTGATTTAAGTATCTGCTCAAAACACTTATTATAATTTCATTGTTGTTTCCTAAAGGTAGCTTTTAGTTAAAACTGAAAATTGAAATTTTTCGTTCTGTTATTCATAATTTTTTCAAATCTGTAAAGCAATTGAGAATTGAAAAGTCAATGAGGGTGGTCTAGTAAGTGTGGCCGAGTACAAGAGTATGGAGTTGGAGTTCAAAATCTAGATTCAGGCTCTAGCTCTGCTGGTCACTAGATATGTGACTTGGAAGAACCAGACAACTTCCCTGATCTCTGTGCCATGTTATATCTGAAACTGAAGATAATAATGCCCCACACCTAGTGCCCAAGTTTGCCACCTCCATGTGAGTTGGACTTGTATTTTGAAGGAGATTTCAGCCATGAAATAGTGGATGATCATAGCTGTCCACCAACACTGAGTGCCTTTCAGTCTAAGTAAGATGGTGTGTGCATTTAAAGCTGTATATTAATGAATGCTAAAATGTTCTTATGTTACTTCAGATGTTTTCAATATATAGATGTAAAGTATTATCGTTCAGTTTAAAGTATCATGTATGATTCTTCCTGTACCAAGTTTCTCTCTCCCTCCTTCTCCTTTCCCCACACAATGATCATTGTCTCCCAGACAGTGAATATGATGAATTTGGTATGAATCCATCTTCCAGTTTTAAGTCATATTTCACTAAATTTAACATATTATCAACTGTAAGAAGATTCTTATTTTGTGTAACATTAAAAAACAACAACAATTAAACGATACACATAGATGATAAGGTGCATCCCATTTTCAGAGTTGTTAAAATGTGAAAATAAATGTGTATATTAAATGAAATACAGTAGTTTCCCACACATGTACAGTATACAGTATAGGCATCTATTTAAAATATACAGTGTTTTTAAATTTAAGGTTATCATCTACAAACATTTTCCAGTGGTCATCAACCGGTGGCCTGAGGACCACTGGTGGTCCGTGAGGTCTGAAAGGTTGGCGACCGCTGTATACCATTCATTTTTAACATTAATATTGTTTTTAGTTTGAGAAGTGCTACTGTAGTGTGCTGATGACCATCCTGGTGGAGGCACCTGATGTCCCAGTTCTCTACTCTGATGACCACACACCATTCTGAGGCCAAGTTATATTTGACCAGGTGTTTCCCTCCTTACAAATCATTAGTAGCAGCAACTTTCAAAATAAGTGATATCAAACTCTACATTGGTTGTCAGTTGAATTTCTCACTTAATATTGTTTTTTGAAATCTTTTTTTAAAATATATTTTATTGATTTTTTACAGAGAGGAAGGGAGAGGGATACAGAGTTTGAAACATCGATGAGAGAGAAACATCGATCAGCTGCCTCCTGCACACCCCCTCCTGAGGATGTGCCCTCAACCAAGGTACATGCCCTGACCGGAATCGAACCTGGGACCCTTCAGTCCCCAGGCTGACGCTCTATCCACTGAGCCAAACCAGTTAGGGCTTTTGAAATCTTTTTATCTTAGTATACATAAAGCTCATTTGGTATATATCGTCATGAATATATGAATTATGACTGAATATACCATGTTTGTTTATCAGTTCCCTTTGCCGTGCATATTTTGGTTGTTTTATAATGTTGCGACTAATACATTTGTACATTGTGTCCCCTTGTATGAGAGCCTCTCTAGGGTATATGCTAGAAAGTGGACTCTGAGATTTGAATACTGCCCAAATGTAACACAGGTCTGCAAGCCATACCAAATCTGGTCAACAGGCTTTATATGCAGTCTGTGAACTAAGACTGGTTTGTGCATTATTAAATGATTATGTGAGTACCTGTATAATATCTTAAATGTTGCCTGTTGGCCCTCAAGGCCTGAAACATTTACTCTCTCTACCTTTCATTTGAGGACTCCTGCTCTATAAGCAAGCTCCACGAACTTGCCCTCCCAAGAGCAATGGTTGGGAATCCCTGTGTGCTTACATTCTCACTTATGGTTGACATTGTTAAGCTTTTAAGGTTTTGACAGTCTTGTAAGTTGAATGATGGTATTACTTTTCCTTAACTTGCATATTTGCATTTTCATAATTTTTAATAAGGGAGCACTTCTTCATAAGATGGCCCTCCTTTAATAAGGGCCATCTTCTTTGTGACTCACCCAATCATATGCTTTACCTATTTTTCCAAAATCTAGTTTGTCTTTTTTAAATGCATGTGTTGGAGTAGTACATATATTGTTGATATTAATCCCTTGACTACTATATAAATGTCCTTCCTGAGGCAGTGTTCTGTTATTCTAATTTGTGATATCTTTTTGTTATTGCCATAATTAGCTAGCTAATACCAATACTAAGAAAAAAGCAGAGGGGAGGCTAGACATTGTAAGTAGGGTCATCTGGGCAGCTTCACAAGGAAGCAGCAACTTCATGCTCCCCAGAGAACCACTAGTCTAGTCCATTCCCTGTAGATCACTGGGGGAAGGAACCAAACAAAGTGGGAAGTGGACACGTGTGCAGTGAAGTTGGGGTGCCATAGGAAACATGCTTACCTGTCATCAGTCTAATCTGGAAAAAAGATATTTGGCTAGAGGGTGGAGCACGGCAAGCGCATGAAATCTTGGAAGGTTAAAGTCCCCAGACAAAGAATTATTTCTCTCTTGCTTGCCCCCTGCTCCCTTGCACTCTCTTGCTCTGTGGCCCACAGTCACCCATGCGCCTCCGTAACAATGTGACCTTAAGCAGCCGCATGGCTCATGGCCATGCA